GTATGGAAGAGGTATTACCTATTGTACCAATACCTTCAATGTGACCTTTTGAATTGTCTCCAAAAGTCACTTCTCCTCCATTTTTGGCGTTAAGCTCAATGAACCGGCTTTTGTCTCCGGTCATATGTCTTGAGCATCCACTATCAAGGTACCATGAATTTGAATTTGTTTCCCGTGCCTTGTAGCAATGCTCATTTCCCTACAAACATAGATTAATTTTTGATTTTTGGTACCCAAATTCTTTTGGGTCCATATTCATTAGTTTCCAAAATCCTAGTCCCCTTAGGTATCCATTTGTGTAGGATATTTTTATCTTTAGTAGTAATGAGTTCTTTAGGAACCCACATACTTCTAATGATTTTTCCATTAGAGGTTCTTTGGGGACCTCTATGATTGTAGTTTCTAAAACTTTTTCTAACAAAGTTGGATTTTGAATTTCCACCTTTTTCAAAATGTTTTGTTCCAACTTTATCAAAAGAAGTTTTAAGATCATCAATTTTCTTTTGATGATCATCATTGATCTTTGAAAGTAAATTTTGCAAATCTAAATTTTTCTTTTCAAACTCTTCTAGTTTGATTTGCAAATCTTTGATTTTACTTTCAAGATCGTTGTTGGTTTTGGATATGAGTTTGTTTTCATTTTTCAATTTTGAAACATCATTTTTATATTTTAAAAACAATTTCTCATAATCCGAAGCCAACCCATTGTACTCATCAAATAACTCATCATAAGATAAATCATCAAAATCGGATGAGTTAGAGGTTACCTTAGAATCTTCCCCGAATGCCATCAAGCACAAGTTTGCTACTTCTTGTTCCTCTTCATCGGAACCTTCTTCATCGCTCCATGTAGCCACATGAGCCTTGTGCTTATTCTTTGATTGACCCTTTTTCTTCAATTGTGGGCAATCATATTTGACATGCCCCGGCTTTTTGCATTCATAGCAAATGATTGGGTCCTTCTCTTTTGGTTCATTTTTGAGGCCTTCGTTTCGTTTGAATTTTCTTCCTTGGTAAGGTCTCATCATTTTTCTGAACCGTTTGGCAAACAATGACATTTCCTCGTCATCATCATCATTATTAGAATCACTCTCATCTTTTGTGGATTTGAGAGCAACTCCAATATTTTTCTTCTTCTCCTTTTCTTTTGGTGTCTCTTCAACTTTATCAAGGTCCACCTCATCTTCGAGCATCATCTCATGAGTGAGGAGTGAACCGATAAGTTCTTCAAGAGTTAAGGACGATAGGTCCTTAGACTCGATGATTGCCGTCTTCTTTGATTGCCATGATTTTGGGAGGGAGTATACTAACTTCCTCACAAGCTTTTCATTTGAGATGATCTCTCCATATGATTTGAGACCATTGACAATCGTTGAAAATCTATCCGTCATAGCTTTGATGTCTTCATTTGGTTTCATCCTGAAATTTTCATAGCTATGCGTTAGAATACTAATTTTTGATTTCTTTACCTCATATGTACCTTCATGTGTGACTTGAAGATTGTCCCATATTTCTTTGGCGGTTGTACACGATGAAACTCTTCCGTATTCATCTGGTCCAAGAGCACAAAAAATAATATGGATGGCTTTGGAGTTGAGCTGGAATATTCTTGTCTCTCCTTCACTCCACAACCTTGGATGAGTGATAGGCTTGATGTATCCTTCTTCTACGGCATTCTATGCTCCCATGTCACTTGCTTGAATGAAGTACATCATTCTATTCTTCCAATAGGCGTAATTAGCTCCATTGAAGAAAGAAGGCTTGTTGACGGGCATCGAATCAAGACCGGAGTCGTAATTTGAAGTGGAGGCCATTGATGACTTGGTAATCGATGTAACTCTTCCCAAATCGAATCAAGAGGCGATTAAACCTTCAAATGAGTGAGGCTCTGATACCAATTGTTGAGTTAATCGATCTACGGAATCGGCCAAGAGGGGGTGAATTGGCAATTAAAAATTTCGTGGAAGCTTTTGCAGAAAATTTAAAGTAATTGCACAGCGATTTACAGTGGTTCGACTTTCTCAAACAAAGTCTACGTCCACTACCTTAGTTATCCACACTAAGTATTTTCCAACAAATTCACTAATTTGTTCTTTCTTTTGAGGCCAAAGAGATAACCTTACAAAATCCCTCAAGAGTATACCCCAACTCTTGAGAACACTCTTTTTCCCAAAGAGAAGATTACAAATTTGTAAACTTACAAGAAAACCTCACAAGGTAAGATGTTTGCACAATTCTAGAACACAGAAAAGAACACTCAAGGATAAATACAATTGAGTACAAAAGTGTTCTTGAAAGCAAATGAATATTGGATGAAAAATAGGCTTGAAATACTCAAACTTGAGGTTTGATGCTTTCTCTTTGATTCTCTCTTGATTCTAGTTGATTGATGTTTCTTGTTATTGATCAATGACTTCTAAGCTTGCTTAAATACACCTTGGATCACTTCTGAACGTTGGGGATGATTAGAGAAGATATTATAGCCGTTTTAGTGTGAAAACATTTAATAAAACAGCTTGGAGCGTGGGGGGAATCGGTTCCCCCTTGAAGGGAATCGGTTCCTAAGTGTAAAATTCAAATATTTTGACCGTTGTACAAGGGGGGAATCGGTACCCCCTTGGGGGGGATCGGTTCCCTCCGAGCATACTGGAATTCTCGGAGCAAAACTGTTTAGGGGGAATCGGTTCCTCCTATGGGGGGAATCGGTTCCCTCCGAGCATTCTAGAAATCTCGGGGCCAAAACCATTTAGGGGGGAATCGGTTCCTCCTATGGGGGGGAATCGATTCCCTCTGAGCAATCTGTAATTTTTGGCTTTGAATTGGTTCGAAATACTTTGTAAAATTATTTTGAAATTGTTTTATAATTAAAACTTAATTTTACACTTAAGTAAGGATTAAAAATGATTTTTGAAATATTTGGAGTAATGTTTTGATATTCGAATATACTTAGAAAATCATTTGGAAAATCTTAAAATCCATTTAACTTAATTTGTTATATCGAAATATCAAAAATGTTTTCAACACTATGTCAATAATTAAAAATATATAAAAATATCACGTCAGTAATATGTATTGTCCATTTGTTGACTAATAATTTATATTCAACATTATATATTTTGATTAAAATTTTAAACGTAAGAGATTAAAATAATTTAAAAATAATAAAAGTTACTACATGTACAAATGTTAGAGGAATGATTTTATCAATTAACCACGTAACAAACTTGCTTTAAAAGCACACTGTTTTCAACGCCCACCACCCCGGATTTCCCTCTTAACCTCACAATTCACAATTTTGAGTCCCTCCCCAGCCCTCACCAGCTCCGCCGATGGTTCCATAACCGCCTTTGATTCGGTCTACTGTTACCCTCTCCGTCACTTCTCCCGCAGCAGATCACAGTCACTATTTTCGTTCATCAAATTATATAAAATACAAAAATATTTTTATATTATAATTTGTATTTTATAATTAAATTTAAATTCGGTATCAAATCATCTCGAAATAATCTATAGCTTGACTCGTACGACCGGTTCTGCATGATTGCTTGTAGTATGTTTTTTCTTTGACAGTTCTCTTTCAATCCGCCACATCAGTTTGGAATGTCACAGCCACTAATATGACACCACGTAAGAGATTCGACCAATAATTTTCGTCGTTATATTAACGCCTTCATTGGAGTGTTAACGATATGCTTTAAATTTACGCGGGGGAAGATTCAGGATTGGCTGTTAGACAGTTAGATCGTGACGGCGGGAGTCTTTCATTATTCCTTTTTTTCTAATGGACATTAAGGCTTTTATGTCCTTTTTCATCTGATATATTTGAATTTGTCATTGCACAATTTTATTTCGTATGTTTTGTTTTAAATATATATTGTATTTATATGTACGAATTTTACAATTAAAGAGAAAATAAGGTTTAAAATTTTAACATTTATTTTTATATTATAATTAGATTAATTTAAATTTATGTATATTTAAAATTTGAATGGTATAATATCAATATAATTAAATTACAATAATTATCAAATTAAATCTATAATTTATATATATTCAGACGTGGATGACGATGGGAGTTCGAGGAGACCTTGGCACCCAAGTTTAGAAGAAAATTTTTTAAGTCCTTTAAAAAGTTTTAAATTCTTAAATTTAATTTTGTTTTTATTAACGAAAATATATTAAGAATTTAAATATTTTTAAATTGACCCTATTTTAAAGAAATCATTAAATCTCTTTTTTTTTATTAAGCCTCCACATTTCGAATCCTTTTTAAAAAAAAACTTAATTAAATCTCTCAAAACAATAGTACTGGAACCGTCATTGACATCATTACAATGAATCAATAATGTAATTTGATTTATTAGCTTAATTATTACTGTTTAATTTAGCATTAAAATTTGAATATAAATATATCAAATTCATAATTTATTTATAATACATGAATTAAAAAAAAGAATTAGACACATATATAAAAGGCAAATAATATGATGAGCTGATTGAAAATCAAAGCATATAAAAAAGAAGGTATGATATTGTTGTTAAGGATAAAGTAATGAGGGACCGTCTTCATTCATTGGCCCCATTAGTTGCTTAAATGTCTCATCATTCATTCTCCTTTGGTAAAATACTCGTTTTTGATAATTTACTTATTAACCATCTCCCATTCTTTTAATAATTACATTATTAATTTGTTGTACCAAAAAGTTGGTAGAAGAATCATCAGTATTTATGACAAGAAAATGATGTCAAAAATCCAAAAAGGAAAAATGTGCACTATGAATCATTGCAGCAGTAGCTAATAAGTCCAGAATCTAGATAGTTCTTGTGAACAGAAACAAAACAAGGTATGGGAATATAATAATTATAGAAGAAGATTAGGGGTAAATTAATTGAATATTTTAAACTTTAAACACTGCTAACATGCAACTGAAGCTTTTTGGTTGTCCACTTGGTCTCGTATCTTCTTTCTCTTTCAAGTGTCCATCTCTCCTTTAGTCTTTCAGACTCTGTTCAGAGTTTTAGAAATTTCCAACCTTTGCCACTCATTCACATACTCGTTACACGCGTCAACAGGAGATAGTTTGATTTTCTCACACTTTCTTAGGAACCAAACACTGCGTTATTCTCATCTTTCCACCACCCCAAGGAAAAAGTTTGCATCTTTTTTACTCTAACCATCTTCATCATTCAAATTCCTCCCAACCCTTCTTTTCTTGGTTCACATTATACGACTCTTTGTCTGGGCAATATCGGGTTTAAGATTGAGCAAAACCATGGCCGTTGATTCGGCTGACAGGAAAGAAATCATTTTGAAGATTGATGATAAAGGCAACGACGACGGTAATCTTTCTACTCCTGCCGCTGGAGCAATCTCTAGTGGTGGAGGGAAGATTTGGGCTGAATCAAAATATGATTTTTGGAAGGACAGTGAGAAAATCAACAGTAATGGGAAAAAAGAGAACGGCAACTTAAATGGTACCGGCAGCAGTACTGGAGGTGTTGAGAATAGGGAAAGTGAAGAGTTCGAATTCATGCACAGCAAACAATCCGCCATGGAAGATCCACCATCAAAGCTGATCGGCCAGTTTTTGCATAAACAAAAAGCTTCAGGAGATATTTCATTGGACATGGATTTGGAAATGGATGAACTTCAGCAAGAGCAACCCCGTGATGGCATTTCACTGCCTACGGTTGCCGAAACACCTTCACCTTCAGCAGCTTCTCTTCATCACAGAGTGCCCTTTGAAAACAGCCCTCTAAGAAGAAGACAAAGTAAAGGGAAAGAAGACAGTAGGGACTCTAAGGAGAGTGATGGGGTTGTGAAGTGCAGTTCCAATTCTTCTGTTCAAAGGAAGTCTAGTTTGTTAGCAACCAAGACAAAATCCAGGTTGATGGACCCTCCTACACCGGAAAGAGGGACGCCGAAGTCGGCGAAAACCGGAACCGGGAAGTCTGGACAGGCAAAATCTGGGTTTCTAGGGAAAAACACGGAGGAAGAAGATGATGATTCATTGCTGGAAGAGGACTTGCTTGAGGAGTACAAGAAAGACAGGTTAAGTGTTTTGATATTGCTTGAGTGGCTAAGTTTGATATTGATAATTGCTGCTTTAGTTTGTAGTCTCACAATTCCATTTTTAAGAAAGAAACGTTTGTGGGATCTTATGTTGTGGAAATGGGAAGTATTGGTTTTGGTTCTAATATGTGGTAGATTGGTTTCAGGGTGGATTATAAGGATAATTGTGTTTTTTATAGAGAGAAATTTCCTTTTGAGGAAAAGGGTATTGTATTTTGTTTATGGAGTGAGGAAAGCTGTTCAGAATTGTTTGTGGTTGGGGTTGGTTTTGATTGCTTGGCATTACTTATTTGATAAGAAGGTTCAAAGGGAGACTAAGAGTAAAGTTCTTAGGTTTGTGACTAAAATTTTGATCTGCCTTGTGGTGGGTGTGATGTTGTGGCTAGTGAAGACCCTTCTGGTGAAGGTACTGGCATCTTCTTTCCATGTGAGTACTTATTTTGATCGAATCCAGGATTCGTTGTTCAATCAATACGTGATCCAGACTCTTTCCGGTCCTCCATTGGTTGAGATTCAAAAGGCCGAAGAGGAGGAACAGAGACTTGCAAATGAAGTCGCCAACCTACAGAAAGCCGGTGCTACAATTCCTCCTGGCCTCAAGACGTCGACCCTTTCATCCCCGAGGCTTATAGGGAGCGGACTGGTTCAGAAAAGCCCTAGAGGGAAAAGCCCTATGATTTCAGGTTTGCTTTCTGCTGACAAGGGAGAAAAGGATGATAAGGGGATAACAGTTGATCACTTGCACAGATTGAATCCTACTAATGTCTCTGCTTGGAATATGAAAAGGTTGATGAATATTATCCGCCATGGAGCTCTTTCCACTTTAGATGAGCAGATACAAGGTTCAGCTCAAGAAGATGAGTCTGCAACACAGATTAGAAGTGAATACGAGGCGAAAGTTGCAGCAAGGAAAATCTTCCAGAATGTTTCCAAGCCAGGATCCAAGTATGTCCATCACTGCTATAGTTATGCAATATATTATGTCTGTATTATCTGTGCCTTTAAAGTCAACATTAACATTGTTCTCAGATTCATCTTCTTGGAGGACATTGAACGATTTCTCCCGGATGATGAGGCTTTGAAAACTATGAGTCTCTTCGAAGGAGCACCGGAAAACCGGAGAATCAGCAAGAAGGCCCTCAAGAATTGGGTGGTAAGAATCGGCAAACCATGCATTGCATTCGTTAGAGTGTGTATATATATTTGTATTATACATACTGGCTAAAGCAAGGCTTTCTATAATAGAAGTTGCATGTACAAGTTCAAGGCTTTCTATAATGCTTTGTACTTCAATATCTTAGGTCAATGCCTTTAGAGAACGAAGGGCAATTGCCTTGACATTGAATGATACCAAAACAGCTGTGAACAGGCTTCATCGGATGGTGGACGTTTTGGTTGGCATCATCATAGCGGTTATATGGTTTCTCATACTCGAAATCGCCTCCAGCAAAGTTCTTGTTTTCATTAGCTCTCAACTGCTTCTAGTTGCATTCGTATTTGGAAACACCTGCAAGACGGTATTTGAAGCTATTATATTCTTATTTGTTATGCACCCATTCGATGTGGGTGACAGGTGCGAAATCGATGGTATTCAGGTACTTATATAAGCAAATATGATTTTGCTTTTTCTTTTTATCTATATGGTACTATAGATCCTGTTTCTCAACGACATTCCAATGAATTTCAGGTGGTAGTGGAGGAAATGAACATCTTGACTACCGTTTTCCTACGATACGACAACCAGAAGATCATAATCCCGAACAGTGTCCTGGCTACTAAGGCCATCCATAACTACTATCGTAGTCCCGATATGGGTGATGCAGTCGAGTTCTGCATCCATGTGAAAACTCCTGCAGAAAAGATTGGTCTAATGAAGAAGAGGATATTGAGGTGAGTTAGAAAGATACAATTGTTCTTCCCTGCATGCTATCATTTACAGACGTTTTGGTCGTCTCTGTATGACAGTTTATCGATGATGATTTTGTATATCTTGGTATGCTTGCCGCATGCATCAATCATATTACACTTTAACGTGTCTGATCGAATTGATCGTTTCATACTGCAGTTATATTGAGCACAAGAGTGATCATTGGTACCCAGATCCGATGATCGTATTCAGGGAACTTGAAGAGTTGAACAGAGTAAGGATAGCTGTGTGGCTCACACACAGAATGAATCATCAAGACATGGGAGAGAGGTTTGCAAGAAGGGCTCTGTTGGTGGAAGAGATGGTTAAGATTTTCAACGACTTGGATATCAAATACCGCTTATATCCAATGGACATTAACGTCTGTAGCATGCCTCCGATGGCATCTGATCGGCTTCCTCCTAATTGGACCGGACCGGCCAGCTGAACACAATAACAAACAAGCTATAAAAACAAATTTTTAATGCAAAGGATGCAAGTATATTTCACTGCCTTGTGAAATTATTTCCTTGATAATGATTTCTTCTAGTGCTTTGTTGTAAGCTACAAAACAAATTGTTCGTGTAACGTTCGTTTATTAAGTTAAATAAACAAGTATAAACAATTTTTGTTATATTTATTTAATAAATTAACGAACACGAACAGAGGAGCATGCGGTTTGTTTATGTTCATAAAGGATCTCATTTATTTGCTTGTTTATAAACTCGTTTATCTACTAGTTTATAATCTCGTTTATCTACTCATTAATAAGCTTATTTATTCGGTTCTCATTTTGCTTTTATTTTTTATATTTTAAATATTGGTGAAGATGGAGAATAAATTGAACACATAATAAATTTTGAAGTTCAAACTGTGAAGTCTAAAGAACTTGGAGACTAGTAACGTGATCTCATCTTTTTTCTTTGACTTGCAAATAGAATGGTAAAAAAGTGTTAGTTATCGAGAGACTCTAACTATATAAGTGAACATATTCGTGAATACTAAACGAACATGTTAAGCGAACGTTAACGAACATATTAACGAATGCTAAATGAATTGGATAAAGAACACCTTCAAAAATTAAACGAACATAAATATAAAAGAATTAAATGAACACGAACCAAATATTAACACAATAACGTTAATCTTAGTCTAATCATCAAGGACTCTCGTCCAGAAACCATTTTGATCATGTTTTTCCTCTCTTTGAATCAGGAACCATGAAAAGTTTACATCGTATACAAATTTGGTGGTTACACAAGATCTGACTTCTAATCATTAAAAGGTTGAAAACTTGAGGAAAGTAATTCATATCAGTTTTTCATATTTACCCTAAAATATCGACTTAAACAAGGACATGTCATCTTCAAGCTGAGTAGCCCATCGTCCCTTCCAGGCATCCAATTTACTAAGAGGGATTGATCCACATATAGTCCCGCACCATAAACCTCAACACCAATTTACTTACGGGACAGGTCTTGGATGACGTCAACGTTGGAGAAACAATCCAGGTGACTTACCACGCAAGTAAAGGGTTTCTTTGAAGAAGAGTCTTTCTTCTTATGTGACAAAAATAGGTATTATTTTGGGAATTAAAGATTTTTTAGTGCTATTTTAATAAAAAAATATTATTTTAATAATTTAATCTATTTTATGTATCAAATATTTTTTTTATTAAACAAATACTAAATATAGTAAAAGAAATTGTTGAAACTTGCTTACTGCTTTACTGGACCGTTATGTGATGGGTTAAATGTGTCTTTGTGATTGACAAGCCTGGCAGCAGCACTGATTTAAGCAACTGTTTGATTTCGTTGGGAAAATAAATTTGTACCTTTAGGGTAAAGTACACAAATAGTCCTCTGTGTATTGATTTGTTGAGTTTTTGGACTATTAAAAATTATAAAATGATTCATCAACTATGAGACATTACTTTGTTTAGTCCATAGACTATTAAAAGTTATAAAATTATTATTTGACTATTCATATGTTCTAAATTCATCATTTTTTTGTTAAAAATTGATGATCATCTAAGTTAGACGTTAACATATTGATCTAAATATGATAAAATTCGATCCAAAACCGTTTAAGTTGTATAGTTGTTTGAGATTCTTTGATTATATTTTTACCATATCACATCTAACATGTTAACGTCCAGCTCAGACTGCCATCAATTTTTAAACAGAAAAAACAAGTTTAAAACATATGAATAATTAGGTGACCAGTTCATAACTTTTAATAATCGGAAGACTCAACAATACAATGTCTTATAATAGAGATACCATTTACTTTGCCCTTTAAATTATGGAACCAAATCCATGGATTTGTTTCGATTGAAATTCTAAGGGTTGGGGTATTGTTGGCTAGTTTGTTTGCTTGTAGCTTGTAGTAAGAGAGTAAAAAAAATTCGTACTCGACGAATTTTAAATCAATTTGATTTGATAAAATCATTTTTATGAAATTTAATTTTAAATTAGGTTGAGTTAATTTTTAAGATAAATTATATAGTATGATAATTTTAACTAATAGTATATGATATACTAATTTTTGTTTTAATTAATAATATATGAAATATTATTCTTTATGAATAATTTATTTATTATTAAAATAAAATAATTTACTTTTGTTTAATTTAAAATTTTATATCAATTAATATTTTAACAAATCAATAATTATACGACTATTTCGATTAGATTCAAGTTACCTATAGAAATATCCCCTAATTGAAGTTGTATACAAATTTATTAGGTCATAAGAAATTTAGGGTTGTAAACGAGTCGAGTTGGGTTTTGAGTAGTGTTGAGTTTGGCTAGACTCAAAAATTCATGAGCTTAAAATTATCAAGTTCGATTCAAATTTGAAATAAAAATTGAAGCTCAATTCAACTCGAAAGCTCACGAGCTTAAAATTTTCAAGTTTGACTCGAGCTTGAAAAGAATATAAACTCGAAATATTCTTATATTTAGCTCGATTGAGGTTTAAACTCAACCTCGAGCTTAAACCTTAAGTACATGAAACCTTATATTTTAAAAAAGAACAATATATAAATGTTAATATTAATGATATTTTAATTAAAAATATATAATAAATTAATATATTATTTTTTTGAGTTGTTCTCGAGCTTTTCAAGTTAGGTATCAAGTAACTCGCTAAATTTTATTAAGAATTCAAGTCAAGTTCGAGCTCGAGTCTATTCGATTTGAGAGTTGGCCGCATTTTAATCGAATTAATCTCGAGTAGCTCGTGATTTGTCTCGTCTCATTTACTACTCTAATAAACATAACAACGAATTAAATTAAATTATTAAAATAATACCTTTTAAATTTTTTATCAAATAACACCTTAAAAACTTTTATTCTTAAAATACGATTAATTTCTATCACATAAGATGAAGGCTCTTCCTTGCTTCCTCAAGGAAGAACATTTATTTAAGCCACAAGTAGGGATTTAAATCGGTCATATTGTTTTTACCGCTGTTGTAGATATATCGGATGTTACTGTGGGCATTGCGGATATCGGGTCATGAATATTTTTTTAAAAGAGTTGATTTTTTAAAAATAAAAAGCTATTTTTAAAAAAAATTAAAATAATGAAATAATATCGAAATAACGGTATGCTATTGCCGCAATTTGCCATGATTCATTAAATTACAGCCGCGATATGTCGCTATTGGTGTGATCTCGCTTCACACCGTTATTTTTCGTAATAGTGATTTTGGACACCGCTGCAACAGTGATATATCGATCTCGATACCTCTAATCGGCCGTTATTTGAATCGGCCACAAGTATTGGATGACGTCAACATTGGAAAAACAAATCTAGATGGTCAATCACGTAACCAAAGGTATTTCTTTGGAGAATGATCTTTCAAAAGGCGTTGTGAAATGAACATGTATTCTTCTTATGTGACAAAAATGAGTGTTATTTTTTTTTAATGTTGAAGTGAGGCCAACGCCAGTAAAACCATCATCCCCTTATACGTAAGTGGGGAGGGCCATTTAAGTCTCTAAGTAAAACATGAACCAAGAGAGCATGTGGAGAATCAAACACCGCGTAGGAGCCATCATGATCGATCTTATATTTGGCCATGAATTCTGCTGCAAAATTTGCCTCTCGACGGATGAGCTGGAAATGAACGCTCCAAGCATTATTACAGAGGTTGGCAATCAAGTTATGAGAGCTTGCAACAGAGGGAGGAGATAACAATTTGAAAACATCTTCACTATCCATATGGAAAACAACTCTTTCAAAACCGTTTGCCCAAGATAATTTTAATCCTTCAAAGACCCCCAGAGTTCCGCTTGAATGACAGAAGAGTAGCCCAGCTGTTTATTGCAAGCCAATAAAAAAATCCCTTCATGGTTTCGTTGATCCTAAATTTGACGAAAGAGAAACAGCTGCATCCGTGTTAATACAAATCTCTCCATTGTCCGGGGGTGACCATTGAACTATTTCCTCAGCTGGGGAGGAACCAAGGGTGGAAGAGTCGGTTACGGTTGCATAGAATTTTGCCCAGGTGAGGCTAGTGTGAACTAAGGACGGAAGATCAATGTAAATATCCTGAAAAAGCTTGATATTACGCCTTTTCCAAGTTTGCCAAACAATAGATGAGAAGATGGTGTGCCAAGGGTAATCATAAGATGCAATGAATCTCGAACAGCTTAAGTTGGCAAAGACCCAATCTGCTAAGGCAAGGTAAAAAAAAAGTCCTCACAAGGGAGAAACTGAGTGAAAGAAGACCAAAGGCTACGAACCAGCATGCAATTACGGAGAATGTGCAAGGTGGTTTCGGCCAGGGCTTTGCAGCTGGTGCAAATTGGATTCTGACTCAAACCAAGGCGACATCTATTGTGGTTTGAGAGGATTTTATCTTTCACAACAAGTAGGAAGCCTCAAACTCTTTCAGGCTCCGAAAGTTTCCAGATGAGCTTCCAGCTATGGTTGTTTTCATTCCAAATAGGGGAGCAAAGGAGATTATAAGCACCTTTTGTGGAGAATTTTCGCTTTGAGCCATCCTTCCAATAATAGCAGTCTGGTCCGAGAGAATGATTGGGAGGCTGATTATTGCAAAAATAAGGGACAACAATCGGAGAGAGAGCATGGTGTAGAGCCGACCAATTCCATGAACCATTACTAGAAACAAAATTGCATACCAGAAGATCTTCATCAGTGTTGATTCGAGAATTAGCATAACCGTTGAGAGGGCCAATTTCAGGAATCCAATTGTCCTGCCAAAAATTACTAGACTTGTCGTTCCCTACAGACCAAGCTAAGTTGGCATGAAAAGTAGGCCAGATTCTAGTAAGGGTACGCCAAAAAGGAGAGCTATTGGCGTGAGCAATAGAAGACAGACAATGAGACTGCATTCTATACTTCTCGCGAAGTAGCCGAACCCAGTGCATCTGGAGATTGAACAAGAGCATTACATATTTTCATAAGAAAAGCAGTATTAGTACCTGCTATATTACGAATACCCAGACCACCATTCTAAAGAGGTTGGCAGAGAGAAGACCATTTGACCAAGACGATACGATTTGCATCGGAGCTTCCTCCCCAAATAAAACTACAAACTAGTTTCTCAATTCTGTCGCAAATACTGGGAGGTAATTTACATGATTGCA